AATACCATACTCCATAGATCAGGGTGCAGGTCACATTAAAAAACAACAAAAGACACGTTATACACAGGATACAATATACATTTGACATAAAAACATAACAAACATGAAAAGAGAGCAGCATTAAAAACTTTTCATAACAGCAGCTTCAGATAAGATATTAAAAGGTGCTGATCCAAACAGGTGGCCTTAATAAGCAGTGCATTTTTTGTGCATGTCACCCTCTGGTATTGGAGCTAGGGATGGGGGGTGGGCAGCATCTTGAGTTTGTAGTTCGGAAAAAAAGTGGAAAAAAGCTATAGCACACTTGGTTGGATCTTTCCAGAGAAGAGTGCAAAGAGGTGGTGGGAGGGGTGGAAGAGTTCAAACAGTATGTTGGTGGCCTTCCTGACACAACAGCCTGTGTAGATGTTTGCCACTGAGGAGAGAGAGACACCTGATATCTTCTCTGCAGCTCTCACTATTATTCAAGGAGAGCAAGGAAAGCAAGATAGGTCGCCAGGCTTTAGATGACAATTGTGCATTTCTTTTTTTTTAAGCTATTTTAACCATGGAATTGTTTTTTTGTTTTTTTATTTGAAAACATTTAAATTACAGCAGTCAAACAGCAGACAAATAACCAGCAGACAAAACATTAAACACATATTAAATTTAACACACTAAAGAAATGAATGTCAAAAATTATTTGATTTCCAAAATAAAAATTAAAAAAAAACCAACAAAATTAAATTTTCTCAACACAATCACAACCAGCGTTCTACTTCAATAAACCATTCTCATTTTTTTAAGTGTTTTTTAACATCATCATTAGTTTTTGCAATATATCCATCCAAAAATAAAGTAATGTTTAATAAACATTCTAAATTGATTAATATTCAAGGAATCCACATCAGCAGCTTTGAAAATAAATTTCCCTATAATCAAATTAATAATACAATTATTTTTCTGTGTAACATTACCTAACATAACTGAGAAGAAGTCCAGTGGAAAGCACAGCTTCATTGCATTGCACATCTGAATTTCCCTCCATAAGGTTGACACAACATGACAAGACCAAAACAAACGTACTGCTGACTCTGATTCAGTAAAACAAAAACAACACCTATCTGTCTCGGTATTACCCCAAATCTTTAACATTTTAATTGTGGGCAAAAAATTTAAAATTATTTTTAATTGTAAGAATCTTGTAACTGTGTCTACTGTTTTTATTTAACTTAAACAGGGTTCCCAGGGTATAGGACAGTCAAATGTACCCCATTTTCTGCTATATGTAGTAATAGATCTCGAGGTTAAATAAAATTTATAGATACTTTGATTTACCTTGTATACTTTTATAGCCGGTTGGCATACTAATAAGTTAGTTTTCCCCCTTGGGGGGGGGTCCTCTGATCCTCTGATTTTTCTGACTTTTTAGTGCCATCATCAGGTTTAATTTCAGTTCAATTCAATTTCAGTTTCTCCACCACTTTTGTTCACAACCAAACTAATGCTGCTCCTGCTAAACACCAGCCTGTTATCATTGCTGCTGAGCTCACAGGGCAGCTGCTAATGAGGCCCCAGACTTGTTATGTCGGTCACAGCACACAGGAAAAAAACATTTGTAATTGCGACGTTTTTCTGGCCTCTTATCGTCCTCCTATCGTCTTTAATAAAGATTTTTTCTCAGTGAAAGGTAACCAGACACCACTGCAACTCATTTTTTTTACTCTGAGCCAACAACAGGGCTTGGAGAGGATGATGATGGGTGTCTCACTTGCCAGCAATGAATATTAGACTGAGCCGGAGCCCCAGCTCAGGCTCTGTGGCGCCTGGTTGGCGGCGCTGAACGGGACTCCTGTGGTCGTAGGGAGGTTTGTCTCCGAGAGGAAGCTGAGGGTCAGAGGAAGAGCAGAGGGGGCCTCTCTGGAAGGGAGGCAGTGGTGGGTGCTAGCTTGCACTGGCAGCAGGTGCAGAGTTGCAGCAGCCTAACATCTTTACACAGCCTCTGGCTGTTCTTGCCATATTTAGCCTCCTGCTCTTTGGGTATGGAGATTAGGACCTCTGCCCACGAACAGAGGGATGCAGGGGAAGTTCTCCAGCTGGATTGTATGGAATGGCATGATAGGAAAAATTTCCTCCAGAGATAGGAATGGCAGCTTTACTCAACAGCCATTTCATTCAATTATTTATTCCTCTGACTGGATCATTCATGCAAATTATCTATATAAACTTTTTAGGAGATAAAAGATCTGTGCTGTTACATAACCATGATGTGAGTAAGGATACATTACTGCCTGCACAAGAGATTTCCTCTCTTGAACACAAATGACTGATGAAAGCATCCACTAAAATGCAGGGCTATGTAATTGTGATCTTGTGTAACTTGGCTAAATGTTTCTCCTGAGTTCAATGTGATTAGTTTCGGTTGACTTAAAGCATGCTGCTCGCACATAAAAAGACAAATCAAAAGCAGTCTATAAATTCAAGATTGCACGTAGCTGTTGGTTTTGGATCCTGTACTCTTCATGTACAGTCACAGCTGCAGTAAATGACTCTTGTCTGAGGAAACAGTTTGAAAAATAAGCCGACTGGCCTTTCCACAGACCCCAAAAATACTCCAGTGACAGATGATACTGATTTATTTCATTGGTCCTCCAAATCCTATTATCTATGTAGCCCTGCAGTGGCAATGAATGCAGGCTGTGTGGCAGTTTCCATTTCTTGGGTACTTCTGCAATATGGGCAGAGCTGATTTGCTGCTGCTGGGGGCCTTTCTGCCGGAGAGGCCTGTGGGCCCTCAGTGGGCACCTGCTCCAAAATTCATCGCAGCAACTCCAAACTCTGATCTCACTGGCTCGACACACATCATCGAGTCCCACCCTAGAAATCAGGATGATGTCAGCTGCCTGCAGCACATGGGGGTCTAGTTGGGAGATTATCAAATGCATGAATCAACTGCATGAGTTCCAAATGATCTTATCCGGACACCACCCGCTCATCCATGAACAGAAAAGCACAATTACACATTTGATTTATAGCTTGAAGGGATGGTAGTGGGTGTTTCTAAAGTTTGCGTTAAAGTCTGTTTCCTTGACCCACTTAAGCGTTATTTATCTTGTCCTGATGTTTTTCACTTTGCCAGTGTAAGTGACCCTCAGTTTTTCTGCAGCGAAACCTAGAGTCCATTCAACCATGTGAAATGCTCAGGGCTGTGAGGTCACTGTGGGAAGTCATCTAACCAAGAAAACAGGCATCTGTGAGACATTTTTTCACCAGCAGACAATCCCAAAAATGTTCCCATTTCAAATCAGTTTCCATGAGGATGTTTTGGACAGGAATCAGATGAATTGGTTATGGGCATTAGGGTACTTTTCGGACACATGGGGTGAGGGTGAGACAGTTAGAGATATCCTTATTTTTGGAATGTTTGGGGGCTTGTGCAATTTAGCTACGGAGATTAGAAACTCCCAATTCTGAGAATAGTCTTCACAAAAAAAAAAGGCGCCACATTTTTTCTCAGATTCCGGGATATAAATACCTCTTACAGAAGAAATGTGAACAGCAAATCAACAGCTTTACAATTGCAAATTTTGCAATGAAAACCAATGAGTGGCCATTCATTCCAATCTTTTTTTGATTTCTTTATCTAATGTGTTAAATGTTATCTTGCTGCACCAACTGAAGAACCGTGGCTCATAGGAACAAAGGTCAAGTGGTTGGATTTCTTGGTCTGTTTTGATGATAAACCACATACCAAGTTACAGCATTAGAAAAGATATTGTCTCTATATCTGATCCTTATCACTGACCCACCATCATACAGAGATCTGCATGGTGCTGGTTGATGGATCAGTGTATGAATGCAGGTTCTTATCGCATCTCCTGCTCTGACAACTCTGAACTCAACTTGAACTTTCTTTTTTTCCCTTCCAGCTCCTTTCTCAAAGATGAACAAATTAAGGTTTTGTTTAAGAGTTTTTACACCAGAAACTAAAAACGCTCATTGTGCGGGCAGGCTGGCAGACACGAGACAAACAAGTACCCACAGCTGATAGTTTCACCCAGTTACAATGTTCCTGTAACATCGTCTCTTTTTTCATTGAAACATGAGGGCAGGGATGACAAACGACAGTTGTGCATGTGAGAACAGTGGGCCTTTGTTGCACAAACTGATTTGTTTTGACACAGATGCAGCTAAACTGAGACCTGACTGCTGCATGTCACGTGCACCAGTGTGATTAATCTTCTTTTCTGGTAACTGAAACAATGAGGTCATATTTTGCAACATCTACAGACCTGTCTTACAAACGATTAGGTAACTAGGGATGCACTGATCCAACCTTTTCTCTCTGATATTGATTCCAGTACCTTAACTCAGTTATCTGCCAATACTGAGCATCAATCTGATACGGGTGCACAGTGTGATGAACTTATTGGAATCAAATTTATGTGAGGTAACTTAAGGTGAGGGAGGGCTGTGGCTCTAAAAGCTGAGTCACTGTAACTAAATAAATGTAACAAAGAAACTGTATTAAAGGTGGATCAGACAGGTTGAGGCTGATACCTGATCTGCTTAATTAAGTATCTGCAATGCTTTTTGAAAAATATGAAATGACTTATCAACAACCCTGACTCAAAGTGAAACTTTCTACCTGTGACCTGCTTGTTTTATTAAGATGTTCATCTTCAGGAAGCTTTGGAGTTAATAACACCGGTCTCATTCTTTAAGAGGGAAAAACACAAAGACCCTGCAACATCTGTACAACATGGCTTTTTTTAAGAATACCTAACACTGGTGAGTATAAAATATTCTCCATGAGGTGTTTTCTTGCTTTTCTCCAAAGGAAGATTGTGTGGTGGGGTTTTGCTGCAGGAAGCTGCCACATGAGCCTGTGGCATCAGCACAGTCTCCCATTGCTGCTCAGTTAATAATAACCCAAGGATCCTTTTCCTATGGCGACACCTGGTGGACACTGCTCATCGTGATCAGGAGGTAGATGAGTCATAATGACAGCAAAGTAAAAGTGAGAAAGAAATGGTAAAGCTTTATTTGTAAACAGCCTCTCCTCAACCTATGAAATGTAGAGACCTCTGAAATGAATACAGCCACCCACTTTCATAAAAAATAGATGGTGTTTTATTTATTTCTATTTTATCATCTTAGTTATGACAAATGGATGCAATTCATTCAACTTTATCTAATAAACTGAGCTTAAGTGGAAATATATATCTACTGTTATACCCAGTAGATATATCAGTAGTATCAGTAAAATGCTCCATATATTTTTTCACTAGTTTACATCATAACAAGTTTATGTCAAAACACAAAAACATCTAAATTAAAACATGTTACACAGCTCTTCTCCTGAACACCACACTATTTCCCCTTCATCAGGGTGGTGTCTGAGAACACAGCCTGAGAGGGGGAGATTTACAGAAGCTGCTTCTTGTGAGGGAGGCACACTGGGTTTATAAGAAGGTTAAAAGAAGAGTTCAACCTGAAGCCATTTCTGTAGAGTCCACTGGATTATATTTGTTAACAGGATTTCTCTGAGAGGTACTGGAAATTTAGCTGTTGGATGGATGTGTTCAAATGCAAAAAGACTTTTAAATTAGTTAGGGTTACCCCTAATGTGAAGTGATGGCAGTGATTGTGTTTTGAAAGAGTAGTGTGGATAGTTAGGTTGAAAGAATACACCATTTAACTACTCCATTGTCAATGGATATTCAGCCTTTTTATCCACGGATGGGTTAAAAAGTTCAGATCAAAGATTAAACTAGTTTTTGATGGACTTGAAGCTGACACTGTGCCGCACCTCACTGCGAGTGTGTTCTCAAAGTAAAGAAACGTTAAAACAAACAAAATATGAAAAAACTGCCAAGCAGTTAAATTAAACATAGCACAAGAAATGAGAAAGGACGGTCTAAATTAAAAAAGAAATTCAATTGAGAAAAATAAAAATTATATAATCATTTTTGACAAAATAATCTTAACTCATGCTCCACTTACGGCTTTTATTCCAGGGGATTTCAACCACATCTGACAGGATTCATCAGTGGATGAAGTTTGCTTCACTGTCTTGGTAATGATTAAGATGTCTTCACATGATCTTTCATCACTAGAAAAAAACCCATAAGCGGACATTGACCTTGATTTAAGATCATTTTGTCAGACTAAAACTTCCACAGTCAAGAATGAGCTTCTGAGGCTTGAATGGGATTTTTTTGTTATAAAACTGGTAAAACACAATTAATCAAAGCTGTACACACTTTCCTGTGGCTCAGTACATTCACATTGTCAAACTTCTTCAGACCTGAAATGTGACAATTTGGGCTCCACAGTTAATTATAGTCAGAGTTTTCCTAATCAGTTTTGCTATGTGAGCCATCTATTATGTTGAGTCTTTACTGAGCCTGAGCCCCCTGGTTCTTACTCTCCTGCCATGACTTCTTCCTCATCTCCAGCTCAGCATCAGTGAACGATGCTGGACCCCAGTTGGTGATCCTCTGAGGTCCTTTATGACCTGAAAGAACGGAAGAAGTTAAAGAGAGGACATGAATTTCTTTAACAAGATGTGCTTACAAACAAGCTGAACAAAGGACTAAGAGTGGACTGAATTAGATCCAAGTGAGCGCATGGCCAAGGTACTTTGCTGCACCTTTCTGCACTGTTCACCAAGTTAAATTCAAGACATTTCAATACCACACAGAATGCAATTTAATACGTGTGTCACGGCAATATTGGTCACAATATGAAAGTATGATGCAAAACCAATTGGATGGGTTGACATGGCCTAGAATAATGTATAATTATGTCACATCTGACAACAGTCAGATATTTATTTTACAATGTTATTAATCAAAGAAAAGCAGAAAATCCTCAAATCCTCACACTAGAGAATTACTAATAACTACAGATGAGGAACCATCTATCCCCCTACCTGGCTGGATGAGACGCACCAACCCCTCATGTTTGGCCACCTTGTCTTTCCAAGTCTTTGTCTTGTTAGCTGCTCGTTCAAGTTTCCTCGACACCTCCTATATATATGAAAAAGAAGAAGAGAGATGGATTCAGATTATATGAATTTAGAAGAGATGTTCAGAAAAGAACAGACAGTCACTGTGGTCCAGCCTCTCCTACCTCTATATGTTATTCATCCAATCAGTGCTGAGGCATCTCCCCCCCCTTATTATTCATTATTATTATTATTATTATTAAGAATTAATTAGTATTTAATTATTCTGACCGTACATTATGTTATTATGGCCCTTTTCAGACACATACATGTTTATTTGCCTATGATACATCACCACTGCCCTCAGCCAAATAGAAAAATAGGGATAAAACTATTTCTGATGCCATGGGATAATTCATCAGTGGATTAATCAAGGGACAAACAATGAATCCTTGTAAACCTCCACATGTGTAACCTGACCTCATACTGCTCCAGTGCTCCCTTCCGATCCTTCTCCAGTCTATCCAGCTGTAGCATGGCTGTCTGCAGCTCTCTTTCCTTGGCCAGCTGTTCGGCCACCAGCTCCTGCTTCTCAGCCTCAGTCTGAGAGAGCGCCCTCTGCTGCTGCAGGTGGAACTGCTCCAGCTCTGCCCTCTTTGTTGTCTCCTCCTCCAGCAGCCTGCAAGGGAACACACAGCATACATACCAACATTTAGTCTCCAGTAGACCCGCCCTGTATGTCTATTTGCTGCCAAATGCTGTTTCAGAGTTTGCACACTTATTTAGACATAATTTTCTATGATATTTCCAGGACATTCTCAATGACATAAGGTTGGTATGTCTCCTTTAAAACATATGTGTTAATCTATGTTAATAAACACCTGTTATAGAAATGTTTCACGATAGGACTAACTCGAATCCCTTCTTCTTTTGAATCTTATTGACCATTCTATGACTGTAATAACGTCAGTTGTCTGGTCTCTAAAAATGCAAATAGCACCATTAAAGTTTATCTCTCATACTCAGTGGTGAGATACAGATACAACAGCAGACTAACAATACATGTGCTACTTTATGAATGATGTTCATTTTCACACATTATGGATTCAGCATTTAGGCCAATATAAGTATCATGATAACTACACATTATTTAAAATTAGTCAACACTTACCAGTGTTTGCATTTGAAGGATCAATTCATTTATTCACATTTCAGTAGTGATTTTGCTGAATATACTGTATGTATTTTTTTATTGAAGTTTTCAGGTTTGCCAACCATTGAGCTGCATTCAAAAGCCCAAAACTGGGGCAATCAGAAAATTTCAAAACATGACAAAGAACAACCCATATACATTCTAAGATCTGACTGTTCACTCTCTGCAACAGCAAATGACAGAATGACAAAATTGATTTCCTGAACCACACAATGGTTTTTGGGCCTTGTATTAGTTCTTTCCTTTTCCATTTGTTTTCCAAGACTGCAAATAACTAAAAGTTTCCATGTTTTCCTGCTGTTTTCACTGTTACACAATTGATTCTGGTAAAAAATCCAAAAGCCAACCACTGTCTCCAACCTTGGAAAAATGCTCAGCTCACTGCTAATGGCCTAGCATCTGCATGACCAACAGAACATAAAAACTAGCTGGAGCCTCAAAAATGAGCTGAATCATCAGTTCTCTGACAGTGTCAAAATATAATCATCAACAGCTTAAAAAAAGACTGCCAGTGAACTGGTTTGCATTATATTAAACAGGTGTTCAAATTACTGTGTTTACTTCATGTACTTATCCACATAATATCCAGTGTGTTTGTGTGTGTGTGTGTGTGTGTGTGTGTGTGTGTGTGTGTGTGTGTGTGTGTGTGTGTGTGTGTGTGTGTGTGTGTGAGTCACCTGGCCTGTAGTTTTCGCATGGCCTCCTCATCCTGCTTGGCCTGCCTCTCGTCCTCTAAAGCCTCCTCCAGCCGGTGGTACATGTCCTCCAGCTCCCGGACACGCTGCAGGTACTGCTCCAGTTCACTGGACTTCTGAGCCACCTGCTCCTCCATCTGTGTGTGTGTGTGTGTAACACACACACACACACACACGCACGCACGCACGCACGCACGCACGCACACACACACACACACACACACACACGCACACAATGTATAGCTTATTTCTTACACACGACTGTACATACAAGCTCTTGAACTGAGCAAAAATCTGTAAACAACCAGTATATCTACTGTATCTACATCTCCTTACATGTTGCTGCAATAATTGCAATGATGCAGTTATCTGTGTAGTCACTGAATTAAGATGATGATTAATAAGAGTCAGTGCATCTGACACTGACACAAAAAAATGACTCATCATCATGGGATATATGATTTAAACTATTTTCAACTTGTTTCCTGGAAGGATAGAAGCACAGTGGTGACTTCATCTGAAGGTAAAAATAAAATCAAACCACAGTTTTTGTTTACCACCATGTGTCGCAACATATGCACTCATGAACCCACATTATCCAGACAGAGTTGTGGGAGGCAGACTCAGGAAGAGCGGTTACCATTTTCTCTCTCTCCAGGTCCAGTCTGTAGCGATCCTGTAGGTCTAACTGAGTCTTCAACATCTTGTGCTCCTCTAATGCTGCTTTAGCTTCAGCCTCTTCCATTTTCTATGAAGCACAAAAGAGGAATGAGTTGTTACTTCTCTGCTTGACTGGAGGACAGGCTAAAAAGGGGAAATCATTTGAAGACAAAAAAAGAGAGGTTTAGTTTGCATTAACTAAGAATAACAGTCAAGAGCAACTTTTCTCTTTCCTTGTAGTTACTAGTTCCTGTAATATTTTACTTAGTAACACCAGGGTTCATTTAGCAAAAGAATTTAAAGTGCCATGTGACTTTCTACATAGTCAGTAATTGGACTTATAAAGATACATTAGTTTTTGACATTTGAAAAAAAAAAAAAAGAAGCCATCTGGCAGGGTGAAAAGAGAAGTGAGAAGCCATCAATAATCTGCTGCAGCTCTGAAACAACTGAGTCCGCATGCCTGGCCTTTCAATAGATGCAGGTGTCCCTGACTGCCACAAAATGTCTTTTGCATAGCAGCTTTTACTTCCCCTTTCACTGTGAATGTTCTGCTGCATCATGTGTTTGTCCACAAAATGAAAAGAAAGCAATAACTGTTTCAGTTGTATGTCTTGTCGTCTAGTTCCAAGATTTACCAAGTTTTCCAGACTTATCTACTATAGTTCCGGATTTGTACCGTCAATAAAGCACATCCATATTTAGCTTTGTGTACTGGAGCACTATAGATGCTTTTGTGTTTCCTGTGTGCTCATTTATAATAAAGAAAAACATAACAGAGAAAATGGTAAAAATCAATCAGACATAAATAGAAGGAAAGAGCTTCAAATAGAAGAGATTACATTGTTTACTACTATATGTCAGAAACAAAAGTGTTGACAACATGACTTGACAAGGATTCCTGTGTATGACATTTGAGTTGTGAAAAGGTGTGATAGTCTCCATCTGAAAGTCAGTTTTTAAGTTGTAAGAGTTGAATGTGGAACAGTACCTCCCTCATGGCCTCCAGCTGTCTCTGTTTGTTCTCATTGGCCACCTGGAGCTGCCTCATCTTCTCCACCAGATGATCCTCTTCCACATGCTGCCTCTGCCGGAGCTCCCTGCGCCTCAGTCGGGCCTCACGGTGAGGAGACGGCAGCCCCAACCTCAGCAGCTGGATGCACGTTTGAATTGCTGCCGTAAGACAGAGTGAGAGGGGAATCACTGACTGAATTACCTCCACAACAATCTTATTACAGACACACTGATAGGTCAGTAACTATGACATTCAAAAATTCAAGACAATGATAAAGTAAACAAAGAGATGATAATGACAAGACTTTTTATGATGGGGCAGATACAGAGCAGTGGAGAATGTCTCATCAGTACCTTGAATCCATTCCTGCTTCTTCTTTTTATCTGATGCACTGATCTCAAAGCTTTTATCAGTGCACTTGATAATAAACAGGCATTTCTTCCCGTCTTTATCTGGCAGAGACTGCAGGAGAGAAAAATATCATGGCACCTTCAGTCACATCGTACTAAACGTGCAAAACCATGTGGGTTTCACCACAATTTTATTTCTGACATAAATTAAATCCTTCAAGAAATGTGAGTTATAATGTACACCCTTATTTAGGAACAAAAAGGGACTTCAAACCATTTAGTCAATACAATATTGTTGACATATTCTATATTACATATTGTTACACAATCACATCCTAAAATGAACAACACAGCTGAACTGTTAACCTCCACACAGCAGTTTTGGTCCAGAGCGATTTTTCCTTTCTGCTCCACCAGATCCTCACAGACATAATATGACAGCGAGTTGGGTCGAAGGATAAACCAGCGCTCAGTCCAGTTCTTCCTTTTGTGGCCCTTTTTCATCATGTATCCCTTCAAAACACAGCGAGGAGTTAAGCAAAGAGACTTGAGTCACTCAATTAGTCTGCCATAGATAGATAATTAAGCAAATAATTGATTCATTTGCCGAAACACATTTAATGTATGTATAGGTGCACTTTCACATTTACACAATATACATGTGCTTTCAATGTCAATTATCCCAAACAAGGAGATCAGCTAATGTGGTTTTAGTATATATAGTATACATATTACTTTAAAAATTGTATAACTTCAAGGTCCTTGGTACACAGTGGAAAACTGCAGGTGTGTTTTTGTCAAACCAAACAATAAATGATGTACTATTATTACCGGTATGCTTTCCATAATAATGGTTGTCTATCAAAGGAATGTATGTATCTTTTTACATTTCTGTATTATAAATGCACTAACCTTTACAATCACATTTAGTTTAACTGATGCAGACCTGATACTTTTATAGACAATGTGTTATTTCCTCCCTTTCTTTTTGAGAGAATATTATAATTGCACATTGTCTACTGAAAATCAAAACATAGATTAACTGATTTTTTCCCCCAAAATGTTATTTTCAGATCTGGGTAGTGCCTGCAGGGTTACTACAGCATGTACAGTATGTGCAGGAGCTATAGATGAAAAGTCCAGCAAAAAGATTTCAATAAACGATCGCTGCTGCTCATAAAGCATGCTGTGAGTACACTGTGACAAATGAAGCCATCTTAGATTAGCGTGCACCATTTTCTTTCAACACAGGGTTTTTCGATAATGGCAGTTGAACAGTAAGAGTACAGTAAGTACGGTAAGAGTACACTGTTTTTAAGTGAGTAAATCAAACCGAAATTAGATCAACTTCCTGTCAAACCTGCTTGAGCACATCCAGTATGAGCTCCTGGAAGACCTCATTGATGCCCAGGGACATGGACTGGCGATTCAGGCCCTTGCTGAAGTAACCCATCCCCACCACTTCAATCAGCTCCCAGGCAGTCAGGCAGTTCTTCTTTGTGTTCAGCTGCAGCTTGTAATCGGAAAACTTCTCCTCACTCCATTCAGTCCGCATGGTCTCCATCAGCTTTCGCAGAAAGTACTCAATCTAAGGAGATGGACATATATACCTCATAAAACCTTAACTTCATGAAATTAAACCCATGGTGGAGGCTATGGTTAAACATTTCTCTTCCCTTTCAGACCGTTTTCTCTAAGGTAAAAAAAAAAAGAAAACTGCTGCAAGAATGTTCCTCACCTCTTCAATGATGATGACTAGTGGGTATTTATCTTCTGACAGAAAGTTGAAAATACACCAGATTTTGAAAGAATCCTCATCTGTGATGAGTAGATGTTTAGTGCAGATATTTTTCTTGTAACACAGTGTCCAGCACATCTTGTTGAACTCTAGTACATCAAAATCCTCCCGGACCTGTGAAGAAAAATGGAGCATTCAGTTAGAGTCAAAGTCACACTGGTCAGCCCCACTGAGGGCACTGTGTTTACAAATGCTAAGCAGGAGACTGTTGTTTGTCTCTTTGTCTGCAGGATGTGAGGTACAAACCTGATGTAATTAAATGCCTCATTTTTATTCAAGTCAGAGCCTACAAGAGAAAGGCAAGAAAACAGCTTCCAAGTACAAAGAGTGAAACTCAAGCAGTTTACTAACTGACATGAGAGTTAGTTTTATAACACTTCAACAGATGTGTTTGCGTTGTATTACACTGTACTTACTAAGATGTAGGACATAAAAAGCCTTTCAGGGCTGTTCATGTCAAAGTGCAACATTGAGTATAAATAAGAGCTTTGGTACCACTAGGGTGAGGTATCAAACATCATATTTTAAAAGTTCTGCTTCTTTTGTAAGATGAAAAAAAACACTTAAAACAAAAACTTATTTTTCTCTTTTCACTTTTACTCAGGTCATCTTGTCTACACTTCCTGAATCCCACACTAACCATCTTTACAATATTCTTGGTCCAACTCTTGTTTATGGAATCTAATCTTGTCCTGATCTGTAATCACTATCATTGAATTTGTTGTCCAATACTGTTTCACAGTTTCAGGATTGCTTCCATTAAAGACTGTTGTGGAGGCCAACCTCTGTTTTTATTGGAAGTATGTTTAGATCGATGAATAGCTTGGCACTAGTATAAAACAAAAATTCTAATTTTGGTAAATGATAGTGTGTTGACAAGAGTAAAAAAACAAGACTCTCCCAGTCTCCTACAACTCTTTCAGTATCTTTGTCCCCACCTTGTCAAGAATAAACTTGTTGAGGTAAGGCATGTAGCCTTCGTTGGACAGAGGCCCTTGATCATCATCCTTAAAATGTTTTTCAAGGGCCACAGGGTCATGAGGGATCCTCATCACTGTGCACAGGTTGTGAGACAGCACCTAAAGATGATTACAAGCAAATTAAATACTACGATAACAAAAACTGCAGGTTAAGGGACACATAATTACTCAAGACACATTACTATACAGTTACAGATTCCTTTAAAAATACATATATAACATATATAAGGTTAAGTTAAAGGTGAAGCTCAAGAGCAGTCTTGTTGTTTTCATATTTTGCTACCACACATGCAAAAACCTTTTGCTGACATTTTCAAGCATTACTGGTCAAGCGTTACTTCAGTTCTTAAAAATGAACTTTCAGTCCCTAGACTAAACATCCTTTTCTACAGATTAGTTCAGCTGTGTTTTATTTGAACGGTACAGCATTGTAGATATGCATCAACAAGGACCAAATCTAGCAAACAGTTTCCGCTGACAGAGTGTGGTGGAAGGTAGATGGTGAATAGTTGGCTTTAAACTAGCCATCATAGCAATATAAAGAACATAAATTAACCTCCAAAAATATGGACTTTTAGAGTTTTCTTGGCTACTCTCAGTGTTGAGAGAGCATATGTGAGAGATGAAAAACCCTGCAGGATCCTTGAAGTCAGACTGTGTCTTTGTCAGGCTGGGCACATAGACATCAGATCCAGCAGGCACTCAGGCCCAGGCTGTCATACAGCAAAACACCACCTCTTGGTTAAACTTTCTTTTTTCAAACTCCCTGATATGAGTGTTAACACACAAGGAAAACACAAATAAGCTGCTACATCACTGAAATGAACCTGACACTGACACTTTCAACTATTACAGGTTGTTTCTCCTTCAACTTGCGGTCCTGTTGTCCTGTTGTAAGTAAAGTCGTGTTTTTTATATATTGCTTCCATTTTTTTCTTGTGTGTCAAGTATTATTCCATCATAGGAGTAAGACTCCAAACAACAATTATTTCCAATATCCATACTTCTGACAGTTATTTTCTTTAATAATCAATTTATTGTTGAGTGTATTTCGGGAAATGGAGAAACTTTCACATCTGAGAAGCTGGTAGGTTTTATTTTATTTTTTTTTTTAATATTTATTATATTTTTTTTTTTTGCTTTGAAAATGACTCAAAGGATCAGTTGTCAGAATTGCTGCCAAAAAATTTGTCAATTGACTAGCTGATTTATCCACAAATCATTTCATTTTTAGGTGGTTTCAGGGGTGCAGGTGGTACTAATGAAACAATGGGGGTCAACAGCTCAACCATTAGACAGGTTAATTGGCCATGTAAATTTTGTATTTAAAAACTGAATTTGCAAAGTAACTGGCAACTATAATTGAAGAACATACTGTATGCAGTAGTAAAAGGCCGACATTTAGCCCTGTATGGTATAAAGTGTAAGTGGAATAAAATGGACGTAGTTAAGTAACGTGCGCATACGTCAGAAGTGTACGTTATAGTTCGAGTAAATGTGATTACTTTCCACTACTGATATTAAGATAGACGATAAAATGCAGCTTAGTCGAGTATTTATCATGAGAGCAGACACAAAATGTCTTAGACGAGCTAAGTCTCGAAAACAAGTCATATCCATGAGATATGATGGACGTAACACCACATCAACCGTTACCGTTACAGCTAACATACAGTAATGCACGAAGAATAACGTTACCAACGCTCCAACAGAACACAGTTCATTTGACTTTATCCTTCATGGCGTCTGAAATGTTCAACAAGAAGGAAAAAACAGAAGTGACACGCACCTTTAACTGAGACTTGGAAACTTTTCCACGATGGTCCACGTCCAGGGCTATGAAAGCGTGCCATATGGTCTTCAAAAGCTCGTCTCGAGGCCACATTCTGTCTCTCAGCAGTACCGGAGGCGCTCTGTGAGTCTGTGCTGTGTGTTTGTGTGTCACTCTGTTGATGTGTGTGGTTTATCTGTCCGCCTCTCAAATACATGTGCGAGAAAAAAAGTGATGACAGCGCCACATAACGTTTAACAGTTTAATACCTTTCAGCTGGGGTGTTTCACTTTATAAACTCAAAACCTCATCAAGTAACCAGCGGTGAAAGCGAAGTACATTTACTCGAGTACAGTACAATTCCGACATACTTGTACTTTACTTGGATATTTCCATTTGATCCTATTTACTTATACTTCACTACATTTCAGAGGGAAGTATTGCACTGTTTACTCCACTACATCTATCTGACAGTTGCAATTACTTTTCATATTTAAAATTGAAAAAAAAAGTTGTCTCTAACTAATTAATATTGTCATTACTGATTAATCTATTGAATGTTCTATAGAATGTCAGAAAACAGTAAAAAAAACAAAAAAAAAACAGTACAAACCTTAAAAATATTGTTTACAATATAAAACAAATAAAATTGTAATTGTTATCATTTGTTAAATTAGCTCCACCCTGACCAGCTCCAATATTAAAATGCTGCTTATTTGTTAATGTATCAATAATTATTATCTGATAAAATATAACTCTGTGAGGGTCCAACTTTTACTTTTGATCTTTCTAGTACTTTTGGCTAATAATACTTCAGTTTTAGTATTTTTATGTTTTATAGGTATTTTCATTTTACTTAAGTAAAAGATCTGAATACGTCTTCCACCAAACCCATGTTAGTCCTCAGTACCCAATTATCGAACAGTGATTGTATCCGACAGCCTTAGTTACACATTATTTTACAGATTAATATTTTCCATTCAAGATATGTGATGCATTGTTTTAGATTAAATTATCTGACACTATATAAATAGTTAAAATTGTATGAATTACATTAGTAATCATGTGTATTAATCTGATAAAACACATACATTTAGGAATAAACAAAAATTAGTTAACGAAGGTCTTGAAACTGTATTTTGACAGCAAAATACTTTGTAACAGGACTTCTGGAAGTTTCTCCCATTTCCACACTGGATCTCTGGAGCTCAGGCAGAGTGACCTTCAGGTTCTTGATCACCTGTGACTAAGGCCCTTCTCTCTGATTACTCAGTTTGGCCAGGTGGCCAGCTCTAGGAAGAGCCCTGGTTGTTCCAAAACTTTTTTAATTTAAGAATTATGGCCACTGTGCTTCTGGAAACCTTAAATGCAACATATGTTTTTGTAGCCTTCCACAAATCTGTGCCTCGCCACAATCCTGTCTCTGATATGCATCGTCAGCTGTGATACCTTATATGGACAGGTGTGTGCCTTTCCAAATCCTGTCCAATCAGCTAAATTTACCACAGGTGGGCTCCAATCAAGATATGGAAACATCTCAAAGATGATCAAGAGAAACACGAGGCACCTGTGCTAAAGATCTAGTGTCACAGCACAGGGTCTGAATACTTATGTCAATGTGATATTTCAGTTTAAAATTCATTTTTTTTCTTTGTCATTATGGGGTATTGAGTGTAGATTTTTGATTGATTTTGATGTTAGCATAAAGATGCAACATAACACAGGTTTCTGGACAAATCACCAGGCTGTTTGTCCTTGACAAAAGACAAACAGGACGAAATCATCTCTGGTGGACAGTCATCTGAAAAAAAGTGAATCTTATAATCTTTAACCAATTATCAAACAAATTCATGAAACGGGAAGAAATGTGCCTGTATAAGGAAACACTCATGGTCATGAATTCCCTTAGCTTTTTTTTTTTTTTAATATGTTGTTGTATATATAGATGGTTCATCCATACACCAACCAAAAGCTTGAGACCTCCACGATAAGTCCAATTGTACATGCTTCAATGATGTATCCAATTGTACTTTCAGTGCTCACAAACACATGTCCTGTAGCCATACTGAACACCAAGAGCATTCTCTTTTTCCTGAAATCAATGTTTCCGAGTTGCCCACTGATCCACTCTGTAACCAGATGCGTGACAACCAGTCATTACAGAAGTCGCTTGCTAAGTAACAAAGTTACAGCTGTTTTCATTTTAAATAGTCTTCAATTTAAAAAATTTGCAGTCTGATACAGAAGGCTAGGAGACCTGAACAATATGAAAGTGCTAGTCATTAATTTACAGAGATCAGGCATCACATAGTGCTATGAAGTATCCAATATGCTACATATGAATACAGCTGTTGACACCTTACAAATGCCTCTGGTTGTTTTTCAAGGCTACTTGAAAAATCAATAACCTTGGCTTGTATGTACATAAACATGAGTGTTTATGCAGAAAATAACGTAGATATCACCACTACCAGAGGTATAATCTTATTACGGCCATTTGGCCACAACAGTGATAATGAAATATTTAGTCCCATTATCAATTTCTAACTGTTAATCCCCCAATTTTGTTTAAGTGGGAAAAAAAACAAAAGAGTTGCCGTCATGGTATCCCCTCCACACTGGGCTCCAGAAGACAACGTTGTTCAGAGCTTCTTCTCTTGCATCGTGCTCAAGTTCTTGGTTTGTTTTCCCCAGCCATTGGTTGCATTTTGGTTGCTTTCCCACATCTTCTGGTGCTATTTCCCATTTGACAGATTGAAGAATGACTGAGAAGAACCAGTTCTGGAACCACTACTTAAGGGAACAACACAAGCTTTTTTTTCACTTCACTACAATCAGTCACAGAGTAATAAAAAGTAGAACAGATGACTCAATTCATTCCTGGAGCAGTGCCTCCAAAGTTGAAAGTAGATGGCACCACTGGCGCCGTGAACTTGTACCCGCCGTGTTTCTCGATCATCTTGGATTCTGTAATTAGATGATGAGGCAACAGTACTTAAGAACCACAAACATAGGGGAGAAGAAAAAAAGCTGTTTCCTCAATGCTTACTGTTGCTCACTATTCATTTACCACCCAAGACAGATTTCATATAATTTGTAGTGTAAGACTTTTTTCTTCCCTGCATCGTTGTCCACAGAACACAGGTATGTAATTCTGAGACAAGTTGTTGAAGGCCTCCATGGCTGGCCATAAGACATCCAGACCACACCAGATTCTTGTACATCTCTGTTTAATGTCTCAGTGTGAGCAACAGTTTTGGCCCTTTATGGCTTTATTATTAGTCAACAATAGAGCGATAACAGGAAATGATGGGAGAGAAATATGCAACAATAAAAAGGTTAATCATTTGGCCCTAGACCATCATTTTGGCTAACAAGCATTGTGGGAAGTTATACAGGCAGGGTGCTCCACCGGGTATTGAAATTTTACTATTGAACTAGGATTATAACACACACACACACTCATTTTCTTTTATGAAGAGAAAATATGATATGATTTTAAATCATCCCAGAGTATTTAGTGGGTAAAGGCTGTGAATAATATAGTACCATTTATTCCAAGTAAACGTATAGATGAAAAGGCATTAGTAATAGCATTTAGAATTTTTTAAATTGAAAGGCAAGTATCAATAACAAAAGAGCAGTAAATTGCATCTAAAAAAAAAATAAAATAAAAAAAAAAAAAAAATACTTTGCCAGACTGAAATGCTCCATTAGCGTTTTATTGGAAAATTGAAGAAGAGTCTCAGCTGGTGCTCACCATGTGCTGCCCGTCTCTGGTCTGCAAGTGTGCCAATGTCCTGAAGCTGTTTGCCCTGTTCCTCATCAAGGGCTTGTGTTAGTGCCTGGTACCATGCTGGGTCACGGCTCTGGATATCTGCATCACAGTGAAGTGAAATTATTGATGATGTACAACACGGTTTGACACAAACAATTGTTTTACTGAACCATTTAATTTTGATTTCTAACAGATCGGTTAACACAAGCTTTCCAGCAACAGGTTGCAGTCTTACTCTGTAGTATGGCTTTGAAGATCTGATACTCGTCCACTAAGTTGTCTTCATCATCTACAGCTGTAGTGTAGCCTTCAAGTGCCGTCTCCTCAGCATCATCCTCCTCCCAGTCTTCATCATCTCCATCTTCTCCTGCCTGCTTCGCCAGCATCTCCAGGTACTCCTGACCTTCCTCGTCAATGTCATCTTCATCACTGCCCAGCTCAGCTACATTCAGAGAATTATGGGAACACCTTTCAACATCATACCTTAACTCACCACGGAGAGTAATACTTGATGACCAATGCAAATCTGCATACATCAAAACACTTGTGCCTTACCGTTGTCGTCCTCGTCTTCCCCATCTTCATCATCGTCCTCTTCCTCATTCTCATGCTCTGCTCGACAGGCGTACGCCCTCTTGAGGCCACTGAACAGTAGGATGGCTGCTGGAAGGAGCTGGCCGGCCACCTGGTTGACAGCCTGAGGCCTGTGCTCAAGGTCAATGAGAGCACAAAGTCCAAGAATGCACATCTTCCTGTCATGGAGGCTGTGAGGGGAGCAAGTGGAACAGGAGGATTAATAAGATTTCTAATTATAGCAGTGCTTTAATTGCTAATGAGGATAACAATAGTTGATTAAATAACTGGTTGCTCAAATTGATTGAAATCATCTCCCATTAGAAAGAGTCCTGAGATTTAGAAAGGTTAACAGTCACCACCAGGTACACTGTAGATGTTATTTGCAATATTAAAATCACTTATAAAACTGGTCTTACCCGAGGAAGCAGTCGACATCTTTGAGCCACTGGGTTATGAAGTGGTTAGTGATTGGCTCAGTGTTGTTGGGAAAGCGGAGATTCTCCAGGGTGTTCAGGAGAAGAGGGGGGCTGTAGTAAAGTGCAGCAATGGCCACCTGCAGGCACATAGTCCTCAGCTCACTGGTCTTCACTTCCCGCGTCAAACGCTCCAATGCAGCAGTCACAAACAAGGGCACAACCTGAAAAAAAAAAAAAAAAATTTAAAAATACAACAAACTTCAATTATGATTAAATATTAAAATTGATATTAATTTTAATTCCCAGCCAAACAGATGTCTTTGTGCATCCTGCAGATGTACACTTTGGTTCTGTAGATTGGAGTGTGAATAGTTATATAGTACCTGTTCATTACACTGAGATGTAAATGTGCTCGAGTTCATTAGACACTGACCTGATCAATGCCACGGCCTTTGCACTGCAGAATGATCACCTCTAACAACTTGGCTGCATGGCACTCGGGATCCTCACCAGGATCACCTGTCAGGACCTGTGTGAAGTGATGGACCAAATTAAAGCTCACAAGTCACCACAAATAATTTAGCATGTATATACAGAGTGTTATCTCTGTAACATCATGTGTTAACAACTACAACGGCTCCACTATACCTTCTTGCACATGCTATAGATGATCTCCAGGTATTTGGTGTCAGATAGGAGGGTGTCTGTGTCAACTGTGACATAGTTGTGAAGGAGAGGCATCATATCTGAAACAGGAACACATTTATAATTCACTCAGGTGACCTCACAGAAAAACATGGAGGTTGCACAAAAAAGTGTTCTTTTCCTTTTTCAACTAAAAATATATATCCATACCTCACTGACACCTGCTTATTAATTAGGATCTCAATGCAAAAAAAATTTTTTTCCCCCCAAGCACATACCTGTGAAGTAGTCAAATCCATCCTGCTGGAAGACTTCATACACCAGTGGAAGGAGCTGCCACATCTGTGGCGACACCTGCTGGCAGGTCAGGCTGTGAGCCAGGGAGAGGATCTCCTCATAAAACTCTGAGAAAAGGAAACAAACAGGAGTGAGCCACTGAAGGTAACTACAGTTGGTTTATTATCACTAGGTGAACTCAGACAAACAGAGAGCTATAGTGTGTATAGTGCGGGTGGAATACAGAAGCACAGGAAGAACCAGTCCTGCTTACCCAATACATGTTGTTGCAGCACAGTGCCAATCACCTGCAGACAGATGCCCTCTAGTTGCTGGGTGATCTGAAAGAGCACAGGCAATGAGGATTTCATCAATATAAGGCAAAAAATGACATTTAATCAATTTGATAAATTTGAGAAGACAAAGCTGTATATAGTTTGATCTTAACAGTGTGTTCCAAATACTAAAAATGTTGGAGTGTATCTTCCAATGCAAAGGAGTAGATTCCAACACAAGGCAGTTGTATGACACATAGTAAGTGAAACAATTACTCACACATATTGTTCAAAATATGTTTAACAATAACATTTCCTGCTCTGTCACCACATGTGGCTGTTTTGTGCTTATTAAGCACTTACATTCACAGAGTGAGAAACTTCTTATTTTAACCAAATGTTAAAAGCACATTCAACAGAGCATGTTTCAAATATTAAAACCATATAAAACTGAATGCTATATAAAAAGGAAATTTACATGAAAGGTATATCTTCAGGATGCAATTTTTAAAATTCAGACCGATTCTATTCTTTAGTCCTGCCAGGATTTCACAGGGTTTTTTTGAGATTGATGTGGGCTAAGATACCTGATTTCGCAGCAGCTTTTCTTAGAAATTGTGATGCATGTTGCAATGTTTGCAATGAAACTGAAGGAGAAAAAAGTGATTATGCTCCCTTACTCTTTGTTAATCACAGGTAGAGTTGATCTTTCTAATAACCGCATGAATTTATAAAGTACAGCTTTGTACATATGTATGGGGTCGTTATGCTGCGATGATTGGTCAAATTTATGTAAAAGTTGCGATGATTGGACAAAAATGCAAGGTCATACAGAATTCATGGGGATTGGTTGAATTTGCGGTAATTAGTGCAATTGCAACATTCTGGAGGGACTGGTTATTGATCAAAACCGTGAGGATAAGCACCTCTTCATCATTAATGTTCATGTTGTTTATTAATGTTTGTGGTGGTGTGTCAGTTCAGTAATATCATCTGCCCTCTAATACATCTACACCAGTGGAACAGGTTAAATTTCCTCTATATAAAAATTCAGCCAAATTTGAACAATTCCAGTTCTTTGCAGCAAAGTGACGTACATCAACGATCGATGAAACCTAAACTACTGAACTGTTACGCAATCAGAAGTCCTCAGTGCAATAAGCAATGCTTGGTCAAATCTAATGCCTTCTTGGCTTCAAGCACCAGCAGCCCTATGTTTCAGCAGACACGGTGGCAGTGTGCCCCAGCACTATTTCTAGCGTCTGCCTCAGCCTCTGAGTCATTTTGAACATGGTGAGAACAGAACGTGTTCCCAGGAGTCGGTGGGTGGCTGAAGTGTGTTGGCAGGAATGCTACAGCAGACCAGAGCTGCTTCTGCAGAGGAAGTGGCACCGAGATGAGTGATCAGCCAGTAGAGAGAGAGTGTGTGTGTGTGTGTGTGTGTGTGTGTGTGTGTGTGTGTGGGCAGCATGCTTAGCGGCTATGCAGCTAACCTCTTTGTGGTCCTCCACCACACTTAGCAATGTGTCAATGGTGTTGAGGATGCCCATAGCCGTCACAGCCTTGTCATCTCCCCCTTCCTCATCAGGCCCCGTCTGAATCACCTGGTTGAACGTCATCGCCTGTCAAAGAGTGAACAGAGAGAATAATGTGATTGTGTCTAGACTATCCATTAGTATCACTATGTTTCATCATTACGCAGGACATTTGACTGAAACACACAGGATTGCTAAATTTGATAAAAAGGAAGAGATAAACATATGTGGTTATATTGCTTTTAAGAGAAAGCTACAGAGGGAAAGCATGAGACGTCACAATACACTGGGCTTGACAGTCACTTTCTGAGAAGTAAACATCTGCTATTAGTGCATTTCCATGGCCAAAAAAAAAAAAAAAAAAAAAAAAAAAAAAAAGGAGCACTGCGCAACTAAGTGCACAATGTTTTCCAGCAAATTAGCAAAACAATAATAATCCTGGTACCTGAACTTCAATATGTATTTGCCGTTTTTGTTAAGGCACATTAAATTTTTGGATATTATCAGACCATTGTTTCTTTTGGACTACTGCATGAGTGACTTTAATTTGGCTGCCCATACTCAGAAAATGATTCGTACAACTTACTAGACAGATTTCATTCAAACTCAGTGACTTTAATATTTTTCTCTTGGGACTGAAGTTTTCCACGTTCAAAGCAGCCATAGGAGGAGTTTATTCGGCTACTCAGCGATGGTAAACAGGATGGTGTCATGTCAAATGATGACAACCTGTAGACTCCACACTGAGTAAACACCATACTAACCCTGGACAGGGCCTCCCTTTACTCTCAAATCAGCCTCAATTCTTTGTGGCATGAATTCCATAAGATGTTGGAAAAATTCTGATGTGAACATTAACAGAAGCTGTATCTGCTTATTTTATGCATTCCACTGTTGCCACACAGTTGGCTGATTGGATAACTGCATGAATAAGCAGTTAATAATAAGGTGCACACATGTTCCTAATAAAACGCTCGGTGAGTGTATAATGATTGCACTTACCAAATGCTGTGTCATCTCCACTGCAATTGGTGTGACCTCCTCACTGTATTCACAGATCATCTTCTGTATGACATTGGTGAGATCATCGTTCTCCGTCTCCCTGACAATGTGCAGGAGCGCCTGCATCACTGGCCGGATGAAGGGGGTGATGTATTCTTTGGCTAAAGAATACAGTATATGGGTTTGTTTAGACACTTAAACTACTACTGAATTGCACTTTATAAAACGGAAAAGCATGGTATGCAGTGCAGTCAGGAAACCGTAAGCTGTATGCTCACCTTTCTCCTGGTTGCTGATGAGAACCTGCAGCGCAATAGCAGCCTCCACCTTAACTGGCATCTCGTTGTCATTGATTAGACAGAGACGGGTCAACTCTAGAGCCGTCTGCAGGTTCTGGTCACTTTTGAACTTCACCTCGCAGAAGTAATGCAACACCCAACAGGCCTGTAAGAGGTTGAGAAAATGTGGCAGGATAAATAAAAGGACCTACACTTAAGTTAAGCTAATATTACCAGCATGTGTTAAATTCAAAGCTACTTTAATCAGTATTGTTATCATTCAAATCTGAGGTGTGCCTGTTCGGAGATCATCACTTACTCTGGCTCTCATGTAGCCCAGTTCACTGCGGAACAGGGGGAAGACGTGATTCTGCAGCATGAACTCCATCTGGTCCTTGTATATTTTTTTCTGTGTAAAGAAAGACATAAATTTCACAAGGCATTCAAACACACTTTCCAATATATCTTGTACATTTAGCATTTTCAGCTGTAAAAAAAAAAAAAAAAAAAAAAAAAAAAAAATCCATCTATGGCTTGTTTGATATATAATAAAGAGGCTGTTCAGACTGAATTTGGGCAAATCAGTTAATGACAACTTCACACCATCAGCACTTGATTTTTTTTGGCTGACGGCTGTTAAATATTAAAAATCAATTAAAAAAAGATAAAAAAAACAAAAAACAATAATAGCCCACAGCTAAATCAACTTCTGCATAATCTCTAACCCCACTTAGTCCATTATTTACGACTGAATGCTTATGAGGTCAGTCATGGTGAGAACAGGTGGGTGCTCATTACCTTCAGCAGGATTTCAGCCAAAGAGCCTATCATGTGGAGGGCACCATCCTTTTTCCTGGGGTCAGAGGTGGGATCAGTGAGAATCTGGTAGCAGAAGCCCATAGTCTTTTGCAGCACCTAAACAGAGACAGAAAAACAAACTGAATCATTCTTTAGGCCTTATTAAATATGAATTGTGGGGAGAGAGGAGGAATCAGTTTTCTTTTTTCATTATAGGACCCGTTTCCCTTACTAAACAAAAATCAAATAAAAAAAAATATTATTTCATCTCACCTCTTTCCTCTTGTTGCAGGCAGTGAAGAGGAGTGTCTGGGCTGCTGTTGTTGGAGAGATGAAGTCCTCGAATACATCTAAGGGGGACAAAAGAAATGGGAGTAACGGTTAGTTATCACTGACGCACAAGACTACTTTTGGATTACAGGCACCAACTTTCTCTGCTTACCAAACTTCATGCGGATGTACTCATATGGATCCTCCTGCCACAGTTCCTCATCACTATCTGTGTAACACATGAGGGGGAAAACCACATCCTGAATGATGCCCTGAAAAACAAAATTAAAAAGTCACAATTAGAAAGTGGTATTAACATAGTGGATGCCAGGCACTTGACTTGAGACCATTTTTTGTAAAAGTCTATGGTCTTCACACTGTCCAATCATAGTGAACTACCACTGCAAATTGTTAAATTTGAGGAGAGTTTTAAACTGTAGTCAGGTTTTAATTGGTTAAACACCATTCTCTCTGTGTTGTGGTTATATAACTGAGTATATTAGAAGTGACCTTCTAACACTCTTCACATACAGTATTGCAAGATATTTTCTGGATATTCAAACGTGCTGTATTTTTACCTGGATGTGGGGCTTAAGGTTTTTCCACGTCAGAGCATGCGCTATGCCCTGGTTGATGTAGTTGAGCGTCTGTTGGAGTACTCTGGGAGCCACGTATTGCTTTTCCTTGTACTGGTATAAGACTTTCAGCAGCACCTAGCAGACAAATGTACAAAGAAAGTCTTTGAATTTGTGAAGTGCTCTCCAAAGACATAGTTCAATCTGACTGGAGAGCTGCTGCTGCTGCCATCACATCTTCTGAAGTTTTTACCTGCTGTGCAGGAACTGCATATTCCTTGAGGAAAAGTTCAGCAAACTCTGCATACTCTTTGGTTGTGTTGCCTGGGCTTCCATACCTGCATACAGGGTTGAACAAAGTCAATGTTACTGATATTTGTATGGTTTATTAAGCAAGTTAAGAGAAGAATGATTAGCTTTTTACCTCTCAAACAGGCGAGCCAAGATGTGAAGGGCCCACTTCTTGCACTTCCACCATGGCAGCTCAGGCCTCTCGTCTTCATCTATCTGCATCGTCTCCTGCACAGACCAAGGATAACGTTGACACAGTCAGCTTGTGGAGAACTTAAATGTGCACATCTCCGAAACTGAACAACCTTTGATTTGATTGAGGAGTGATTGGGAATATTAGTGCAGTGTGAATTTATTTTGTCTCCTTACCGGAGGAACATCTCTATCAACTACTGTCTTCAGGATCTCCATCCATTCTGTCAGGTTCTGTCTGTTGATGAGTTCCAGGGGAAGGTTGTACTGCGGGGACAAACAAGAAAGTAATTTTGAAAAAAAAAAAAAAAAAACCCACTAAATATCTGGTCTAATTAGAGTAAGATTTAGACATGTTAACTTTGTAGATTTCATTCCAAAAAAACAAAACAAAATGATGACACTGCTTGTACTTTCTCAACACGGGTTGAGCACAACTTTAAGAGCCGTTCTCAGGCCCCAGCTAAGGAGATGATGTTAGGTGCAGTGACGTTACCTGGAAGAGGGCATAGAGGATTTTGAAGATCTGTTTCTGAATGAGGACAGAGTCACTGGAGTGGTCAGGGAGCAGCTGGATAAAACGTTCTTTCAGCATGGGCATGAAGATGTGCATGGCAGCCACCAGAGGTTGACGCTCTTCTGGTTTCTTATATCTGTTTGACACATCAGTCGCACAGGCTCAATGTTAACCCCATGCCATGTGTTATTATTCAATATAAAATGTAGAAATGAAGAGTGAAAACTGACGTACTCGTAGTTTTTGACAAGCTGGTAAAGGCAGAGCAAGATGCCCAGCCATCCTGCACTGTTGTCTGACTGCAGGTAGAAGCCAATCTTGTCCACGATGGTCGTCCACTTGCCAGGGTAGTCATGCTTGATCATGTGGTGGATACATGTTGTCAACTGGACCCTGACAAGTTGAAATGGCAGTTTTAGATCGATTGATTTAGACAGTGACAGATTCACATACATTAAAAGAATGTATGCCAGGTGGAAAAGGGTGATTGGGAGGAAACATGGATGAACAACAAAATCTCCTGAGCTCTACTCAGCCAAAAGGACACATGGTTACCTGATGCGCTCGGGGGAGTGGATGATGGCCTCCACTATGCTGTCTCGAATGAACTGCCTGTCCTCCTCAGGGATGTTATTGACAGGAGTCTCTGTGCCTGAACCGTCTCCATCACTCCAGTGCTGGGTTATCATGTTCTTCAGGTAGATCACACCTAGACAGAGAAAGACCACAAGGGTCAGTCTTTTAATGCACTTTCAGAGCGCTGACCAAAACATAACGACACCAAATGCAATGTATGAATGATAAATATCTTAAGCAGAGCCCAGTCTTAGTATCTAAATATCTTTAAAATGCTGAAATCTTATTTACCTATCACACCAAGCTCCTTGTGATGTGCAATTTCATTTGCAAGATACAAAAACTTGTAAATTTCAGTTTGAGATGGTTTGGCAAAATGTTTGTGATGCCTGTGAATTTTATCTGCAAGCTTCTTTGCAGAGGTGTTTCAAACTAACTAAAACACTATATTTGGTTAAAAAAAAATTCTGCTGGTGTACAACCTTATATTACTGACTGCATTTACATCATTATGACTGTGTACAACACAGTAGTGTGAATTCAGAACCATTTAAAGCCTAAGCTGCAGGAATAAATTCTTCCATCTGTAGTTCAGTAGTTTTGAATGTCACACCAGCATGTCAGCTGGGTTCACATCTAATGTGGGGCCCCACTCTGAGCTCTGTGGCTCGTAGGGAGAGGCATCTGAGGGAGCAGAGGAGTGAGGGCTGGGAGGCGGACGTCAGACTGCTGACACAAATGTCTACACCGCTGGCGAGGCAATCATAATCCAGCCTATCATTGCTGACAGAGCATAAACCTCCCCACCCCCCCACCCCCCTCCCCTGTGCCTATGACCACCAAACTACACTATCGCCCCAACACTGAAAAGCCATTAAGAATCTGTCCTATAAATTACATTCATGGACAGGAGGAAAATTACTTCTTGAAAATGTCTTGCTGAATGAAATGACTGCAATCTTAATAAATGATTCAAAATAAGGGAAAAATTAAATAAAAAAATAAAAATAAAAAAACATGAAGTGAAAATTTGTAAGCCCTTTATTTCTATAGCTGTTCTCTGACATAACTAAAGCCTCACAATTTCTTTCAGTTTGTCAAATTGAAGCAAGCACTTGTACCTCCTAGGTTTTGCCAGTCTTACTTCAGACTGTTAAATACAGACTATTTCAGTTTGATGAGTAGACTATGCAGATTTTTCACAGCACACGAGAACCAAATACTTATACTTAATAATAGTTCTATCCGATCACAAAAAATCTCAATCAACCCTGGTAGCATTGAGCTGTGCAGAATATTTTGTGTGTTTAGCATGCTGAGTTTTTAAGGTTAAACTTCTTTCTGCTACCACACAAATACAACTGAGGTTTCATTCAATCACATTTACCTCTTTTGTACTGGGTTGGCAGAAGAAAGGTCAGAAGCAAAGATCTCAAACACTCAGCACATACTGCACATGCTGCCAATACTGATTTAAGTACAACTCAAAGCCACATTCAATCATGCTGTGCAGAGATAGACAAACAACCACTATTAATGCATTTGATCAATATGTCCACTAAAAATCATGTAATAACCAACTGTCAATCAAATAAAAATGATTGTAAGAGAAGCAGTGTGATTGTTTCCTCAAAAGACAGCAGTTATATTGGGCTGTCTACTAGCATCAAGCCAGACAGGAGCCAAATGAACGACAATCCACCCAGCCTAAGTGACTGACTCAGTGCCAATACAATAAATTTAGACAATGTAGATTTGTAATCAGCTTCACTTGTGATATGATTCCGACAGCTTCTGTGCAGTCTGGAGGAGCTGCTCCTCCTCGACTCTGCTCTAAACAGTGTCAGACATTTTTTTCCTACAGCTGGAAAAGTAATTTATTGCACAGCTCTGTAACAGCTTAATTTGCTAGTACGGTTATGGATAGTTGGGGAGGTGGACACACAATGATTCAGGTCCTATCTGTGCAACTTTCTGCAACAACTTTGGTCAGAAGTTTAACTTTGACCATTGATTTTTCCCTCCATTAACACCTTCCTCATAGAGAACCGTTTGACTAAAGTGAAACAAGCTATATTTAACCAACTCCATGTGTCCACTGCACTTCAGCGTGGCACTTTGGCCTCACGAAAACACAAGTGTGAATCATGTATCATCTCTAAATTATCTTTTTTTAAACTATTATACAAGTGACCTGTTTAGCTTGGGATCATGGGGAATATGCAGTCTATTTCTCATCTAATGCAGTTTGATAAAATTGGAGTCAGATGCAGAACAAAGTGGTAAGTCACACAGTACCAGGGTGTTTCAGTAACCTTTATATGGATACAACAGGGAAAAGCATGGACTGTGTCATAACTCTTGAGAGGGTTTAACTAAATAAAAAATTACAGAAAAATATCACTGTGAGCAGACTAAGTGAATTATCCATCCAGCTTCACCAACAATAATTTACACATTCTCTTGTGGGTTTCAGTCTCAATGTAAGAGTGGGTTATCCAAACAGGCATAACGTTATTTAAAAAGGAAGACTAAACATTTTATTTCAACATTCAGCTCAATGATAAATAGGTTGAAATGTTAATAGTGAACCAGTGTGCTTGTTTATTGGCAGTTTGGGAGAATAGCTTTTACTTTCTACATTTTTTCTATAAAAAAGGAAAAATGTTTTTTGTTTATCGGGGCACATCCTGCACCTGGTTGTGTTGAATTTCCACCTCAGTTTTTAAATAGCATCCTCAACCAAATCTGATTAGACAAACCAGTTTATTGTAAAGATTTGATGGTGCCACTCCCTATGCTACCACTCTCTAGATAGCAGGGACTGAACCTTTATGTTGAGTGAAGAGAACATTAAAAAATATGCTGGATTCATGTCTCATTTCATTTCCCATGACCCTTTACCACCTGTAAAACTATTTTTACATGTCAGAGTTTAGACTCACCTGCTTGCCTGACAGGCAAATCCAGCTGATCAGACATGGTGACACGCAGCAGAGTGGACACAAAGTTTACCTGGGTGTGACCCTGTAAATCAGAATTGAAAACAGCTGAATGTAAACCAGTTAGAGATACCAAAACAACATGTGGAATCTCCTGTTTTTCATACCATCTCATAATAATTTGTATGATGTAGTTTTCACACCATTTTACATGAAACCTACTTCTCGTTGTTAGTGTTGTACTGTACGAAGACAAAAATGGCTTTAAGCTTTATGGTAAGGCATCACAGAACAAGAAGTATTTTTGACATGGCAAGTTGAGTACACATTATGTCTAGCATTTAGTCATGCAAACTCTGTTACTAGGCAACAAAGACAGACACGGCCTGTTTACCTTTTTCAAGATTGAAGAATAATTTTTTTTAATTTTGTTGCATTTTTACATCATGTTTACAATAAAAAATGGGCTCCATACTTTTTTTAAAAAGTCAATGCTCATCACAACTCAAATTTTTTTTGAGTTTTTCTTTAAAAGAAGTACCAAAACTGAATACAACATCAGCAAGTTATTCAAAAGGAAAATTAACATTAAAACAGATGCTCACATTAACCAGCTTGAATCCACAACAGTACAATTTTTTTGCATAAATGCAAGCCAATTTTCTGACCTATAATATGATTAAGTGGTAAAATGAGATAGATTGAATTCTGGGTAACTTTTTCCTACTGAAAGAAAGCTGCAGTAAGTTTGCCCCTATGCACAAGTAAAGGTGGACGATGACATGACCAAATAATGCATCAGATGTTTGTATCTGAGAGGCAAATCATTAATAGATATGCTGCAGATTCCAAACATCACTCTGGTATGCAGAGCTCCAGCACAAATTGTATTTACAGTATATCATTAGTGTGTGCTTTGAGCCACACTGCAGCTCTACTGTAACAAAACAGTTCATGTAATCTGTTTGAGCATTTTGTTGAGTGTTATTCAATATTTATCTGGACATTTTCCATGAAAAACAGTCATCGTTTATGACTAAGCAAAGGACTGTATTTAGAAATGATGCACTGAACAGATTTACTCCGTCCACCTCCAGAAGACAACACACAACTCGAATAACTCCAGCCAGTTGTGTGTGAACGCTCTCCCAGCTATGCCATTCAAGTGAGCCATCACTATCAATGCATATGTGGGTGTTTTATAAAAAATAAATAAATAAATAAAAACTCAATCCCCTTGTACTGCCAAATATAAACATGGGAGGAAGGGTTACTTACTAGGAGCAAAACATACTGACCACATGTGCTATAAATTAATTATCACTTGATTAAAAAATAGTTACCAATACAGGTGGTCACGACTTAAAGGCTTCAGGTTGTTTCATGTAGGACACTGTGCATACTGGCTGATGTTAACACCATTAAGGAGAACAGTATGGCCCCCACAGAGCCCTGATCTTAATATCATTGAGTCAGTCTGGGATTACATAGACAGTAGACAGAGGCAGAAGAGCTGTGGCAAGTTCGCCAACAACCTACATACTAAGTACCATTATAAACTTTATATTGATTATCGATTTGATGAAGTTTCGTTTGGTTAGTTAACTTTGTATTACGTAGATAAAATTGATAAATATAAATTATTCATGGCATCATTTTTAAGTTATAGTCAACCTTATTCGAATCAGTCTCAGCCATTTAAATTCTTTCCGATTCTGAACTGTCACTTAAATATTTGTGATTGACCAATCAAAAGTAAAAGACGGATGAAGAGAGAAGACAACTTTTTAACTACACAGTATTGCTAACATGGCTCACATGGAAGTCGGCTAGCGTAAAACTCCATTTTCTAATATTTTCACGAGTTAGATCTAAAGTCATAATCAGATATTAAGTGTGGCTAAGAGAAACAGCGGTGGAATCTGGCTAATGTAAATCTTGTTCAGTTTTATTGTAATAAAGTCATCACTTAAGGGCTTGTCACAGTGACACGTGAGCAGCAGCTATGTAGCTACGGCAGCCGATCCAACAAGTAGCTCCGTTAGCTAGCCGATATTAGCCACACAGGAGACATCAGTATACCGCTGTTAAATACTCTAACTAGACCATGGCCCGCATTCACTCATCTAATTTTGTTGGTCAAAATACCAGTCATATTATTCTGGTGTCATGTCAGCTCCGATATTAGTAAAAACTGTAACGAAACTGCGTGTGACGAGCTAACAATTACCCCTTCAGCATAACAAGAAGGGTTAGCTTGTTTAGCATTAGCGACACAGCTGGCTCGGGCTGACGTTGGTTACTGGCAGTGAAATCATTCGTAATGCTGTTGGATTCATGTTTAGTGTATTTGCGGTGGTGTTAGGAGTGAGGGCGTTAGACACGGTAGAGTTATACGAATCATGTGGCGGAATTTAGCACCGGATCTGTCACGGTAACGACAGCGGAGCCCAGTCTGCGTGATCGCACCATCTTGATGTTGTCAACGGCCCAGGCCCGAGCGGAGACCGCGCCACAACTGCCATCACCATTAACGGCTTGTCTTAACTTTTACCTCGTTTAGCTGTCTCTCGGCGGCCTCCCGCAGATTGGGGTCCATCGTCCCCCGAAGGGCCTCGACCAAAGACTCGGGATCCATTGCGAAAACTCTGTTTACGGCTCGGATTTTAATATTTCAGAGGACTCTCAATTCCCAGTCACTGCGCACATGGACGCACGGCTCTCCGGTTACCCGGCGCGAAAGGAAGCAGTGAATGAAGTACCCGGATAGATCAGCGCCAGATTTGTGCAACACGAACATCCGGCTGCAAACAATGAACCATGGGGATTGTAGTTTTTTTTTGTTTGTCTGATTGGTCAAGTCGACATTGCTCACATACGATATCTACACTCAGTCAAGAGTTTATTAGGAACACTCATCTAAAACCGAAGCAGTCTAATACGCTACAACAGTCCTGCAATAAATTCTCCTTCATCAAGATTATAATGTTCAGTTTTTGTTGACACTGTCTTAGTGAGGTGTTGATTCAATGGTGTGGTCATTTTGGAGACTGCAATTTGTAGTGTTGTTGAACTGTATTGCAATTTACAAAGAGGTGTGTCTTTTGTGTATGAAGTGTACTTGAAGTGTAATACTTGAAATGTATTTAAGTATATTTGAGTCATTTCTGCATAGTTAGTTTCCACTTCTGAAAACTTAAATATATAAATAGGTTAGTGGCAGTAGGGCAATTTCAGGTAAAGTGGGACCGTTTTTGGCAAATCTCCCTTTAGACTAAAAGTTTGTCCAGTTCAACTAAAATCATGTTTTTTTTCATTTACACAGGTCCTCATCAACATAGCTATTGTGAAATTAATTTGTAGAAACCTGAGTGGGGCACTTTTGGATAGGCCTACTTTAGCATCAAAATTTATCATGCATGTGAGCAAAGCAAAAATATTGTTTTTTACAATACCCCAGTCTAATCCAGTTTGCATCCATACATCAATTTAGCAGATTCATAGTATTCAGTGGTCAAGTATACTGATATTGAATATAATGTGTCCGTAGTTAGATGAAAATAGCAGTAAACTGTAAAATGTGATTACATTTTTTTTTAATAGCTGGATTAATTAATTAATGAATTAATTAAAAATAAAAAAAAATAAGGAAAAAATGAAAAAACTTCAAATGGTTTAACCTTGACACTATATCTTTGGACAGTGCCTTTTTTTTCAATTTGCCCGGGGTTGCTTACAGTACCTGTTATTGTCATTAATCTTGGGATATATAATTTTTCCCTCTGCCTCTACTTTGCTTTCCATACTATTTTATTTTTAGTTCACTTCATTCCTCTCCTCTCCTCTCTCTCTGTAGCAGCATGCTTGCTGTTTCCTGTGGGTAAATGAATATAAAATGTGAACCACCACTGCAATTTCATATTGCCTAGCTGTCAGATAAATGGAGCTGAATAAAAAAGTGTTATACTTCCCTCAGAAATGTAGCAAAGTATAGATATCCAGATGTTGGTGATTATGCAGATAATAAATATTTATCCAGGTTTCAGTCAATTATTCAGATATAGGATCCAGATATTATATATTGGTAATTATCCAGATATCAGTTAATTATAAATATATCGACCAATTTTCCTGTTGTCCTTTTTATACAGACCTAAGTTAAGTATCCAGGTATTGGTTAATTATCTAGATATGGGATAGAGGCAGAGGTATTCCCAATATATTCTCCAGATAATGGTTGATTACCCAGATATCTGTTAATTATCTTGATGTGGGTTAATTATATTGATTAATTATGCAAGTAGTGGTTATTTATTCAAGTATTAGATAATTATCCAGGTATCCTTAATTATTCAGGTATTGCTTAATTATCTGGATAACAGATCAGTTGAATAATTGTTCTGATATCTGGTAATTATCCGGGTATTGATTGATTAGGTATCCAAATAAGCTGGACTTCCATGTATGTTTTGTGGCTATATCATTGCGTTTTGATGGTGGTCGTGGTTTGAAGGGACTCCCAAGGTTGTAGCTGGTTCCCTCTCGCTGGGGGCGCTGTAGTGGATGGTGCTGTTAAATGGGAAGGTAAAAGGTCAGTTTCTGTAACGTGTCAGCAGGCTGTCACCGCACTGGTGTCACTCCACCCGCCGGCTGTTGCCGCTTCATACATCGGTAGTACAGCTGACCCCGACGTTATCTCTGAAAATGGCCAAAAAGCGGAGGGAAAGACGAGAGACCGACGGGTTGTCCGCGGCACAGGAGGAGGTGAAGGCGAATGCCAGTGACTCGCAAGTACTGAAAGGTAGGTTCAGGCTGTGGTGGCTAACTGTTAGCTCACTGACTGTTAATCTGAATGGAGAGCATAGCGGAGGAAAGCAAATACTTCTTGATCGATTAAGCAATATAACGATTTGCCAACGTTTTTTCTGCCTTGAGGTCAATGTGTACTGCAAAGCCGGATCTAATGTTAGCCGGAGGCTGCTAGCGAGCTAAAATTAGCGATTGCGACTAAGATGGCTAGCTTAACAATGTCAGTGCTTATAAAAACATAACGCCGTAGTTTTGAAGTCGCTAAAATACAATTAAACTAACGCTAGAGGGATTATGGGTATGATGCAGTTACATTGAATATTTAAACGAGAACAAAATCTGAAATCTTTGACTGGGTTTAATAGCGGGCTGTTTCAGAAACAAAGCCCAGACATTTTTAGTTATCAGATTCTTTACTGAGGTAAACATAGAAATACAACACTGCAGAAATATCCCATTAGAAATAAAAGATCTGCCCTGTAATTATTATGAAAAAGTATCTATTTTCAACTGAATGTGCAGCCCCAGCAATTTTATCTACTGTTTATATACTGTTGCACATTGTTATCTATAATAATGCATCATAATTTACCATCTTTATCATGTGTGTTGTGTGTAAAATCATCATAATTTGTAAAATAACTAGTAACTACAGCTCTCAGGCCCTGTTCAGACCTACTATTAGTATCTGCTCGGGTGATCCAATCACAAGTGGACAGCTCTAAGGACAGATGTGAACACTATCTCGCAAACACTTTGACAACGGATCTGTCTGTCTGTATAGTCGGAAATTCGTTAAAAACAACAACACATACGTGTTAATTTGCATATAGTGGTCATATAGTGGTGAAGTGATCACAAGTGGTCACTCCAGACACATGTGGAGAAGCATTTTAAAACCAGGTGTGAACTGTCCAAATGTTAATGCCAGGTGTGAAAAGGGCCGGATAGATGTGTTGTGTAGTTGTGGAATAGAAAGTGCAGTACTTCTCTGAAATGTAGAAGAATAGTGGTATGACATGGAATAAAAGATCATCTTTAACTACTCAAATGTACCAAAGTCAAGCACACAGATCTAGTTCATCTTGAGATAAAAACAAAAGACCCAAAACAAAGCTGTTATGAAACAGATATAATTCCATCAGTCAGAAGCACAAAGCTAGACCCCCATTATCTCCCACTGTACACAAAAGTCCCAAAGCCCATTTACAGATAAATATCTTCGTATAGTCCAAGGTTTTCCTGACTCCAAAAGTGAAATATTGCAGATAGCACTGTCATGAAGGTATGCTTATTTGTGCTACTAACATAAAAGATGTTTTGTGTGTTGATTGAATAAAACAGTTATTGCCTTATTGTGCCACACTGTCACTTTATAAGCATTTTATCTGGATGTAAAGTTGATGACACATTGAATTTGCTTGTATATACCTACAGTATGCTTTGGGTCCCAATGAGCAAATCATTTTCTCTAGGGGCAGCAATGCAACCAGTTGTTCTATCAACAAAACCTTGCAGTTAAAATATCTGTGACCATGACAGGAAGAACAGAAAAAACCCTGTGAACTGATGGCAGTGCTGTATGAAGTAATTCTTACTTGTGGTACTAACATTAAACAAGGCTATAAGATCCCCAAAGTTTTTTTAATGAGAATTTTGTTATGAATTGTATTTAAATATAATTCATGATAAAATTTGTGATAATACACAAAAATTTCAAACTGAGGTTAAGTATGAACATGTTTGTAGACTTGATCTTTGTAGCATGTTATTAATTTCATCAGTTGCTGATGTGGTGATTGGACTTACGTGTTGACATTCTTACACTCTAATTTACATTTTACACTCAGTTGCTAGTTTATTAGGTATGTATAGTTAAAAGTAATGTGGTCTATGACAAAGGTCTTGCAATGAAATTTAACTTCAAGAAAGTTATAAGGTTAATTTTTGTTTGAGACAGGTACATAATAAACTGGCAATTGAGTGTATGTTGTTATAATAGAGTCACTTGAGTGGATTAGATCAATCTGCTACCAGGAGTCCTGGCTTTAGAAATATTTTTTATTGTTGTTGGCACTTGGATGAATATATATTCTGGAATTGCAAATATCTGTATAGGAATGTTCAGCCTTGATTCCTGTGCTGATCTGTTAATCAGTTGTACTTGTACACTGTTAATTTGTAATTTGCCTCTGGCTTCCTGGTTCGTCTCTCGGTTATATCTCTAACGGGCTGTAAAAAAGTGAACCACCAAAAAAAGTACATTTTTATTATTTTCTACAGTATAACATAACATCTTTAACATCAGACTGAAATTAGATATTACACCGGTCCTTTCCATGAAGCGTTTATTTGAAGCATAATTGAACTGCAGACTGTCTCAGCAACAGCAAGAGTCTGTCTCATGGGGGAGACTCAGTTCCCTGCAGGGGCCTTCAACAAGTGATGCAAATCCCATAAGCAAATTACACAAGGCTCCCTGGTAGCTAGTTTGTTTGTTTTAATGACAAACTGTTATTCTCCTTCCCCACAGAGGCTCAACACAATGCTGGGGGCTCAGCACGCATGTCTCTCCTGATTCTGGTTTCTATCTTCACCTGCTCTGCCTCAGTCATGTACCTGGTCTACAGGAACTTCCCAGAGCTTCCTGAGTAAGTTGCTTTTTGGATGAACAAACTTGGTTAAATGTGAGGGGTGAAAAAATCTGTCTTGAAAAATAAGATAGTCCTAATAGTCCTAATTTGTGTTTAAAATATATGAAAAGATTTTCAGGGTTTTAAAAAAAAAAAAAAAAAAATGTTTTAGTTGCACCAAAAATCTAAACCAACTTTTACAGTAGTTACAAAAGGATTTACTCACAGTGCAGTGATGTCACGGTGAATTGTCTCTGGTTTTCTTGTGAAATCTATATCCTTTTATTTTCACGA